ATCCCTTCTCCTCCATTCTCCTCTCGGGATCTTGGGCACGCACGCACACGCGCCCAGCGTGAGTTTTAAGCCACCAGGTCCAGGACGCGAACCACGGTTGACTACGTGGGAGTCCAGCGACATAGCCATTATGCCAACTGCTAGTCTCTCATTTTTTAAAATTTGTTATAGGACATAGTCACTCACCAGAGAGAGAGAGAGAGGGAAGGTGAGAAAGTAAGTTGCCAGATCCAGGACTCGAACCTTAGTCAGTCATGTGAGAGTCCAGCACCCTATCCACCACACCACCTGCTGGCCCCATGAACTTCGTCTCTAATGCCTCTCTGTAAATACTTAATCTAGGCTATACAGGTAAATTTTGAAAACTGACGTATTCAATAAAGGGATAGTGAATTACTCCCCATTCCTAAATGGATGCTATTGCCCACAGTTGATCATTCTGTCAATATTTAACAATAGTAACATATTGAGAATTACTCAGTGTTTTACAACAGAAAATATTAGAATATTTGTTAAACTAAGAGATTTTCACATTCGAACTGTATCTGGAAACGTGATCGTAGTTTAACACAGACTCCTAAAGGATGAAACCAATTTTAAAGATTATCAGCAGGTATAGAAGTAGTCTGCACAATAAACTCTCCCTGATTTGGACTGACGTTTAGTGAACATAATTGGCTGCATGTTCTTTGAGAAAGAGCGTTCTGTATAATAGTTCAGGGAAATATTATACAGTGCCATTATTTTTTCATGGTAACCAGGTTAGTAAAGCCCTGCCAAGAACTGGCTCTGTTTTAACAGGAATAAATAACACACAATTAGCTTGCTAAACACCTGTCTGCAAAAGAGGCACATATGCCAGCCAGTTTACTAGCCTTTTTCTTTTAATGTGTGAAAGCAATTTGTTGTAAGTTGGAAAACTGCTTCTGTTTACATTTTATCTGCTTAGAAATTCTCTTCAGTACAATATGCTGTAAAAAATATTTATTGAGAGCTATTAGGAAGGAGCTATGCAGTCAGTATAAGTACTATCTTTCAATAAGTTACCTATGCTTGGTCCAAACGTAGTTTTCATAAATCCTTAATAGAAGTCACAAATTAGTGAGGCTTTATAGAATTGCGATTCTATTTTTCAGGGCTATATTAAAAGATCTTACTTGTGGGACCAGCAGTTGGCGTAATGGCTATGTCACTGGACTCCTATGCAGCCGACCGCAGTTCGAGTCCCGGACCTGGTGGCTTAAACTCAGGCCGGGTGCGTGTGTGCATGCCCAAGATCCCTAGAGGAGAATGGAGGAGAAGGGATTGCGGTGTGGCCATTCCCCCTGCCCCCGGGGTGGGGGGTGATTTCTCGCTGTCTGTCTATCTCTGGCTTTCTGGCGAGCACATGTGCTCTACAGCAAAAACCTCTCCAAAAAACAAAAAACAAACAAACAAGAAAGATTTTACTTGTGGGACCGGCTTCCTGGTACAATGCACCGTTCAAGGGATGCCAGATCCCACATGGTGACCACAGTTCAAATCTCCAGCCTGCTCAGCTCAAACACACAGGCATGTGTCTAAGAAACAATGCGCTGGAGAACTGGAGGAAGGGGACTGCAACGTGACCAGATTCCTCTGTGGAGACTGTGTGTGTGTGTGTGTGTGTGTCTCACACACTCAAGTGCACATACATTCTATAATGAATAAATTCAAACATGCCGGGCGAGTGTGCATGTGTGCGTGCCCAAATTCCTGAGAGGAGAAAGGAGGGGAACGGATTACAGTGTGGCCATCCCCTCTTAGGGGTGATTTCTCACTTTTCCTTTCTCTTGTCTCTTTCTGGCAAGCCAAGCCCATGTGCCCGATGGCGGGTGATTTCTCACTTTTCCTTTCTCTTGTCTTTCTGGCAAGCCAAGCCCACGTGCCCGATGGCAAAAAAAAAACCCAAAAACAAAACTCACACACACACAACAACAAAAGAAAATTTAAAAAAATCTTGTTTGACATACAATGCAATGTAAGCTTTGAAAAACCATACCATATGCTGTACAATGCTAAAATATAAATAAAAATATAAGTAAACATTAAAGATCTTTTTAATGATGATTTAATCCCTTTAAGGACCCATTAAGAAGATTAACCAAAAAAAAATCAGTAAGAATGGGACCAGCAGGGAACCAGCAGTTAGCGTAATGGCTATGTCGCTGGACTCCCACATAGTCAACCAGGTGACTTAAAACTCGCGCTGGGCACGTGTGTGTGCGTGCCCAAAATCCTGAGAGGAGAATGGAGGAGAAGGGATTGCGGTGTGGCCATCCCCCCTGGGGGGTGATCTCTCCCTTTCTGTCTCTCTGTCTCTCTCTGTCTGTCTGGCGAGTGCACGCGCCCTATAGCAAAAACCTCTTAAAAAAAATCAGTAAGACTAAAGGAGAACGAATATACTTTATAGCCTTCTATATTCTTCCTAGAGATTTTCTTCAGACAGATTATTCTTTTCATAATTTGAAAAAAAATTCATGTATAATTTCATAACTTTTTATGGAGAGTCCATACTTTGTTCACCAACTTAACTTTCTTTCCCTCTTTTTTGCATGTCACATCTATACATACCAAGTGAAGTCACAGCAAATGAAAAAGACGAAAATACAAATACCTAAGTATTTCTTCTTCATTGTGTAACATTTCTGACATATTCCAAGTATTTATGATGTAATGCCTAATTTTTTTTAATGTAAAAAGAACTTAAACCTGTATTTGCATAATCGGTGCCTGGCAAACACAGGGTATAAAATCAAGACTGGATCTTAAACAATCCTAACATAAATAGAAGTCCATATATTCGTGCATACTGAGTGGCTGAGAAGCAAGGCTGTTATCTCCACCGAGTGTAATGCAGAAGGAGGACTAAAAAGTCCCGATCTTCAGGGCCCGAGTGTTTGTAGGTGACATGTGTTACTATAATACAAAGTAGAAAGCTCTGGGAGGGAATAAATTACTTTGTGTTTCAGATGCGAAAAAAATTCAGAATTGCCACTGGCCAAAATAGGAAATCAGGGCTTTGCCACAATTCTAATATAACCAGGGGGGAAAAAACCCTACAACTCTATTCCTTTGTCCCCCGGACTCCAAGAACTCAGTGTTCGTGTCAAATTGGCCCCTGGCTCTGAAAGGGGCTGTATCGTCGGTGCAGGGAGGGAGGTAGTACACCACGGGTCTCTAAGGGCGTCATCCTTCCGGAAATGCAAAGACTCAGACTATCGGGGTTCGTGGAATTCTCACCCTGGCCAAACTCCTGATTACCTCTGATGAGCCCCAAAGATCACAGAGTAGCAGACTAGGCCAAATCCCCTAGCAGAAAGGCGGAGACGGCTGCAACATCAGCGGTTAAATTTCACACCTCATAGGTCAGACTAAGGCTCCCGTCCTAAGAGCACCAGCGCTGCGGGTCGGCAGACTGGGAAAGAGAGAAGAGGGGAAAGGGAAGAGGGAGGGGGGTAGAAGGAAAGGGAAGGGGTAAGAGAAGGGAGACAAGGAGGGCTCGGGAAAGGGGGGAGGGGAGGAGAGGGGCGGGACGCCGCCAGGAAGGCCACGGATTTACAGGCGAGATCGAGGCGTTCCCATGGAAACGTATCCCTCCGCTGCGATTCGCTGCTTAGCCCCCTCAGTTGCCTCCGCGCGTCGTTTCGGCTGTTTCCGCCCAGCTTCTTTGTGCCGCGCAGAACGTCGAGATGACGCATGCGCAAAAAGTCCCCGCGCCGCATATATAAGCGCGAACTCGGGCTCTTCCTCGTATTGCTGCCGGGACCGTTGGCAGGCGAGGGCGTGTGGCAGTTTTCCTGTTACGTGAGCCCTGGGCACTGCGAGCTTCAGAGCGGAGCACGCGGGCCGGTCATCATGTCGCGTTACGGGCGGTACGGAGGAGGTGAGAGGCTAGGGTCCAGTGAGGGACGTTAGTGTGGGCGTTGTGAGTATTGCAAGGCCGTGGGATTGGCGCGGCGCTGTAGCTGCGAGCTGCGCGTTCTCGCCAAACAGTCGGCCGAATTGCGGAATGGGAACGGAGACGTAATCTGCGACGAGGCGGGGCCCGGCGGGGCCCGCCCCACGCCGCGGAGTATCCTACCACGCATCTTTGCCTGTGTTTCCGAGCTCCCCCCACACTTAGAACGCTGTGAACTGTGTCATAAGTCATGTTTAGCTTTTCAGGAATTTACAGGGTTTAATTCTTTTAAGATTAAATTCAGAGCTAGCTCGTGGCCTGGTGGTTAAAGCAGTCCCCCATGGCCGACCACGCCGTTCGAGTCCCGGACCCCGTGGATTAAAACTACGGGAGCCGTGTTTGTGCCCAAAATCCCGAAAGGAGGGAGAAATGGAAAAGGGGTTGTAGTGTAATCATTCCCCTTGGGGGGGTGCTTTCTCCCGGTCCTCTCTCTTTGGGGCAAGCACATATTGGCAAAACTTCAAAGTAAAAAAAATTTTTAAATAGAAAAAATGCATTTAAAGAAAAAGATAAGTTCAGTCCTCTGTAGAGTGTGTTAAACATGCTTTAAACAGTCTCAAGGATATCCCGTATTAAGGCAGAGATTTCATTCAGCTTGGGGCCAGATTATGCATAACGTGCATTCTTCTATTTGCATTTTTAAACAGAAACCAAGGTGTATGTTGGTAACCTGGGAACTGGTGCTGGCAAAGGCGAGTTAGAAAGGGCTTTCAGTTATTATGGTCCCTTAAGAACTGTATGGATTGCAAGAAATCCTCCAGGATTTGCCTTTGTGGAATTTGAAGATCCCAGAGATGCAGAAGATGCAGTACGAGGACTGGATGGAAAGTAAGTAAGATGTCAGTTATGGAACATGTTCATAAAAACACTCTTGTTGCATACATAGTGAATTAGGATTTTGTAGTCTGGTGATGATTTTACTTAAGGTATGGAGGATAAAAAGGGTAACAGAAGGACTTGGTCAAGATAGCCAATGTTTGTTAGGAAAAAGTGGTTAGAGTTCTAAATCTAGAAAAGGCGTGTATATTTTTTAAGTTTACAGTTTTGTTCCTTTTGTCTTATAGGGTGATTTGTGGTTCCCGAGTGAGGGTTGAACTATCAACAGGCATGCCTCGGAGATCTCGTTTTGATAGACCACCTGCTCGCCGTCCCTTTGATCCCAATGATAGATGCTATGAGTGTGGTGAAAAGGGACATTATGCTTATGATTGTCATCGCTATAGCCGGAGAAGAAGAAGCAGGTATTTATTTTAATAAGGGAATGGTTGGTATTCTAGTTAATCAAGTAATTTTTTTATTAGCAAGGCAGAAAATAGTGTTTTTTTTTTCTTTAACTTGAATGTTAATTGTACAGGTGTATTTTACAATTTATGTTTAATTTGAAAAATGTTAATATATTAATAATCAACCTGGTCAAAACCTTTCAGGTTTCTTCGTTTGAGTCAGTCGCCTTGATTCAGAATGTCACGAGCCTTATGATATCATGCTGAGGCGCCTTGCAAATCCGACAATTAAGATCCTCCTAGACCTTGAGGTGATCAGCATAAGAGGCCAGATCCCCTCGAGTCATCTACACCTAGCTTCACCTTATTCTTTAAAGGGCAGAAAATTTGAGACGGTGATCGCCGTAACAGTAAATTTGGCTTACAATTGGGGCCCCCCTCCGGTTTAGAAAGAGGAACATCAGATTGACCACATTCCCAACTAGAAAAATCTTCTTGCGTCAATCAAGCCTCACCTGGCTCATTTGGCTGTCAGTTTGATCGTCGTTAGATTGAAGAAAACATCTAGATGAAGCGATCGGCTGTAGATACTTCTAGATCGTCTAGATCTACTAGACCTACTAGACCATGGGCCAAAGAGGGTCGACCTGCAAACTTGCAAGGTTTATTTTAAATACACATTACAGTGTTTTTATATTAATGTAATTCTAAAATGTAATTCAACTTTTAACAAATCTTTTTTTAGGTAGTAAAAATATTCTCAACTAATAGGCCCAGAGTTTATTTCCAAATGAGACACTAAATTTAAATAGTTTTGAGATTTGATTTCAGCAGAGGCACATAAACTCTAAAAACGACTTATTGTCTGACATTTTGTTTTTTCCTAACTTGAAAAATAGGTCACGGTCTAGATCACATTCACGATCCAGAGGAAGGCGATATTCTCGCTCAAGGAGCAGGAGCAGGGGAAGGAGGTGAGAGATCTTGTTTCTTTAGTTCAAGTCTTAAGAGATAAAGAACTTTGCTTGGAGATAGACTTAAACTTTGATTTAACTTTTAGGTCAAGATCAGCATCTCCTCGACGATCACGATCTGTGTCTCTCCGTAGATCAAGATCAGCTTCTCTCAGAAGATCTAGGTCTGGGTCTATAAAAGGATCGAGGTATTTCCAGTATGTAACACTTTTTTTCCCCTTATTTGGATTGTCATGTCTTAATGACAGCGGTATTGGCTTAAGGATATAATTCAGATGGATTGATGTTTGAGGTGTAAGAGTTTGTGTCAGTTGTAACGTGGATATATTACCTTAGTTTTATGATGAAGAAAAGTACAGCTGAAGATCTTAAAGCCTGCTAGAGGCCAAGATGGTAGAGAAGGGTTCAAAAACAAATCATTCCAGAAAACACTGGGTATTTAAACTCTTCGGGCATCAGCTGTCCTGTTATGGTTTATAGGTAAATAATACTAGTTCCAAAATAGGGTAGTTGCCTGGTTCCTGATAAGGCAGCCTGTTAGAACTAGAAAGAGATTTTTGAAACGAGTTGAAACATTTCTCACTTTTGGAGTAATTATGGTAAATTTGAGACTGGAAAGTTGTCTAGGATGGTGGTATAGTGTACATCTCAGTTGTTATGGTATGGCAGTAGTGCCAGTGCCTGGAAGCCCCATGGCTGAGAGTGGGTTCGGATCCCCGGTTGGCCTGAAAGCATGCCAGACTTGTGCAGGAAGTCCTATGGATCCTGAGGAGCTGGATGAATGTGTATACTATTAACATACTCTTAGCTTCAACATTGAATTTAAGTAAATCAGGCTGGCAGGTGGCGTGGTAGTTAAAGGCACTGGACTCCCACTTGACTGACCATGGTTCAAGTTCCAGACCAGGAGAGTTGCTTTCTAACTAACTCTCTCTGATCAAACTGGAAAATAATAATAAATAAAGTTATATAAAATAATTCTTTAAAAAAAAAGAAATGTTAGGAAATCAGACTGAGGGCCCTAACACTACTGTTTCTATAGAATGTCTTAAGAGCTGATGGGGGCAACAGGTGGAGTAGTGGTTAAAATGCTGGACTCATGGCCAGCTGTGGTTCAAGTCCCAGACTGGGTGCCTTGGAACTCAGACTGGGTGTGAGCATGCATGCGTGTGTACCCAAAATCCTGAGAGGAGGATGGAGAAGGGCTTAGCAGTGTGGCCATCCTCCTGGGAAGTAGTTTCTCACTTACCTCTCTGGTGGGCAAATGCGTCCTCTCAAAGTAAAGCTGACAGAATGGATAAAATGCTAGGAAATAAAGAATACTACTGAGGAAGCAGTAGTAGAGGATGCCACTGAGAGTTACTTGCTATTTAATAGTGCAGGATCTGGGGACCAGCAGATGGTGTAGTGGTTAAGGCGCTGGACACTCTCACATAGCCATCCATGGATTGAGTCCCAGACATTGCAGCTTGCTTTGTGTGTGTGTGTGTGTGTGTGTGTGTGTGTGTGTGTGTGTGTAGGTGTGTAGGTGTGTAGTTTGTATGCACATGCACTCCTCTCTTTGGTCAAATTAAAATAAATGAATGAATAAATAAAATTAAATAATTATTTTTTAAAAATAGTGCAGAATCTGGGGACCGGCAAATGGAGTAATGGTCACATGACTGGGCCTCCCACATGACCAACCACTGTTTGGGCCTGGAGGTTTGAAGCTCATGCACACATGCATGCCCCAAATTCTGAAAGAATGGAGGAGAAGAGATTGTGGTGTGGCCATCCCCCCTGGGGGTTGATTTCTTGCTTTCTGTCTCTGGCAAGTGCATGTGCCCTATAGCAAAAATCTCTCTCAACAAAATTAGTCCAGAACCTGATGCATTTGAGAAAAACTGTGGACCATCTACCTATAGATAAATGTTTAATCTGATGGACTCCACAGTTTTTAAGAGAAGGTGTGTGTGTCAGCTTAATTTAGTTTGTCTGACAGGTATATGGCTTTGAACCCCATGGTAACTTAAATTGTAACCTTACAAACAGGTGACTTTATTTTCATGAGACCTTTAAAACCAGGAGAATTAAAATTTCTCTGTATAGGGACCAGCATTAGCGTAATGGCTATGTCACTGAACTCCCATGTAGTGGACGGTTTTTCGAGTCCCGGACCCAGTAGCTTAAAATTCAGGCCGGGCACGTGTGTGTGTGCACCCAAGATCCCAAGAGGAAAATGGAGGAGAAGGGATTGCAGCGTGGCCATCCCGCCTGGGGAGTGATTTCTCACTTTCTGTCTCTCTGTCTTTGTGGTGAGTGCACACATCTTGTAGCAAAAAAAAAAAAAACCTCCAAAAAAAATTTCTCTGTACAGGGGCTTGGTCTTAAGTTAGGTTAATTTGATGCCTTTAAGGTTCAATCATACCAGTCTTCTCAAAACAATCTACAAAGAGACTTCAAAAAGTTCATGAGATGGGGATTTTAATGTCTCTGTATTGACTGATATGCATGGTATTCCTTTTGGTAAAAGAAGTGTAATACACTGTAAAGTTACATGATCCAATGTAATATAGACAAGATTATGATAATAAATGAATAAAATTTAAAAACAAGTTCATGGGAAAATGGGATTAAAGTAGGAGTTTATTTTGGTGCCCCCCCCCAAAAAAAAAAACCACTTCAGACTGTGTACTTTTTCATTATATGCATTTCCCGTGGTTTTTGAGTATCCCTTTATCTTGGATATTGCAGTGTTGGAAATATCCTCTGTATAGGAACTGTCCAAATGAGTATGATAGAAAAAATTAAAATGAATTAAGAAATAATCTAACTAAAAAAAGGTAAAAAAAAAGTAATTAAAATGGAGGGTTCCTTAATTTTCTTCCTTAACTATTCATTCACTCTTATTTATTATTACCATTATTTTAAAATTTGCTATAGGACATGCATGCTTACCAGAGAGAGGCAGAGAGGGAGAGGGGAAATAAGAGCACGTTTCCAGGTCTGGGGCTCAAACAGCATTCGACCATGTGGGAGTCCAGCGCCCCAACCATCACACCACCTGCTGGTCCCCTCCTCAAATTTTTTTATTATTATTATTACTATTTTTTTTTTTTAAACTTGACCAGAGAGAGGGAAAGTGAGAAAGCAAGCCACCAGGTCTGGGACTCAAACTGTATGGGAGTTCAGCATCTCAACCAACCACACCAGCTGCCAGCCCCTTCCTTAAAAATGTTTTGTCACAGTTTGAAAGTGTGATCATTTGTCTTCTTGCATCTTGCACTGTTGTAGCTCTTCCATCCCTTATTAACTTAATGAATTTTAGTAAATGTTTAAGGGGATTCCTGTGGACTAATTTGTATAATTTTTGTTTTTCTTTTGAAGATCCCGGTCGAGGTCAAGATCAAGATCCAGGTCTCTCTCACGACCAAGAAGCAGGTAGGATAAAAATCTGATGAATGTTCTTCTAGTTATATGGCACCAATATCCAAAGAGTTCAAAGTGTTTTGAATACTGAAATTTTAAGTTTTAAATCTAAGCCTAGGTATTAAGAGAGAACATACAGTTTGTTACTAATAATCCAAACTGGAATTTCATTGGCACGTGACCTGCTACTACTGGCTAACTTCCTGGACAAGGGAATGTGCAGCTGTAGTGAAAGAAGTTTTGTGATTCGGGGATATACTGAGAGGCCATTGTTAGAAAACTGATAGTATGTGGAGAAGCTTTCTGAGATAAGAGCTTAAAGCAGAATATAAAAGATTAATCATGATAATGTAGGACGGTTTACTCATGAGAAATAGTTGTTGGAGGATTGGCTTTTGTTAGCAACTCTTTCAGTTCAGTTGTAGTCAACATTTGAAGCTTAGCACAGTTTGGGGGCTTATATTATGGTATTATGACTTTAAGGAAGGAATTGGTTAGTACTTTTTCTTAATAGAATTTTTCGTGTTTTTGACAGCCGATCAAAGTCCAGATCTCCATCTCCAAAAAGAAGGTAAGCTAAATAATGTTTTGTTGCCAAATCTTACCTGTCAAGTGTGGCCTCTGCAGTTCTAGTTACTGCCTACTTTGCAGTCTTTGAGCTCTTTGGAGGATTGGTGCTATATAGATTAAATGATTAGGTACTAAATTTCTGAAATTACTGCTTCTCCTTTGACAACAGTTTATTCTTTGGTTGGTAATATTTAGTTAAACAATTTTAGCATAATGAATTTACATGTGTTTGGTCCCTTGAATCTTTAATTATAGATATTTCATGTTAAGGAAACTATGTTAAGGAAACTTTCCTCACAGGGTTACAAGATAAGTGCCCATATGAGGAAAAGATAAATCTTCCAAATTAGGTGCACTCTTGGAAATAAATCATTTGCCTTATATATGTTTAACTTACCTAGCAGTTTTGACAAGATGAGTATCTAAATCTTACGTAATTTTTAGGTCTTTGTCATAGGAACTGTAACTTTGGCTACTTTTGATTTACTGAAATTTGAGTATTGCCCTGGCATGTACCTAGAAAAAGTTGCAATACACACTAATTGGTTCCAAACTTAATGTTTTTCTTTTTAGTCGTTCCCCATCAGGAAGTCCATGCAGAAGTGCAAGTCCTGAAAGAATGGACTGAAGTTCTCAAGTTCACCCTTTAGGGAAAAGTTATTTTGTTTACATTATTATAAGGGATTTGTGATGTCTGTAAGGTGTAACCTAGGAAGGATGTTTCAACGATCTAATCAAAATGGATCTGGATTATTACTCTGTAAATTTTCAGCAGTAAGGTAATATACATTTTTGTTGAATGTATTAACATCCTATGGTCTGAAAATGTGGGTTTTTATTTGGCACATTTAAATAAAATGTTTCTAACTAGATTTTTGATTTGTGTTCAATATTAACACTTCTCAATTTGGTAAACTTCAGGAGTCAGGTTTGATCATTGTTATTAATCGTATTCATAAGGCCTACATTGGGGGTTTAATGGTGTAGGCTAACTCTTTGAACATAACACTTAGCCAGGATTTGAGGGACTTTGAAAATTCAATTTTACCCTATACCTTCGGGTAAGATGATCTGGAGTTCCCTATAATATGAAAGCATTGTGACAAATCTATTCAATGTTGGTATCACTAGATACTGTCAATCTCTAATGATCTCATTGTGAGTAGTTAGAGGGACCACTGAATTGTCTATAAATATGAACATGTTAGGAACCTAACCAAAGCTCACTGAAGTAAATGTATAAAAAGCAAAGGGAAAGTGGTTTCTGGGGGTTATTTAAGTATAGAAGTTTTCAGGCTGTTAGGTGGAATGCTGTCAAATTAGAACTTCTCAGATCTAGGGGTGTTCTGCACAGTGTTCTTTTGTTTCTTTGCTTTCAACACTAGTTTATCAATTTTATACCCCAAAATTGCATGTTTAAAGGATTGTCTGAATTTGAGACAAAACATCTTCATGTAAACCAGCTTTGCAAAATTTTCCTGCCCAGATACTCACTCATTCTTTAAAATGGACTGCCATATTCTGAACAGAGACCTGTGAATTTCCAGGGTAGGTTTTGTAATATCTGATCAACATCTATTTTGCCAGGCTGGTGCAAAGTAATAAAAGATGTCAATTGGAAATGTGATGAGAATAAACAGTTCTGTAAATCTTGCCTATAATTAGCAATGCTTCATATAGCTTGTTTTTTGTTTTGGGGGGGTAGCATCTGGTAGACCTTAGAATGTTATAGCCAATAGGTTCTTTATTCAGACTTTAAATATCTTAAGTGTACTAGGACAGTGATAGTTACTTTAGAGAATTTTCTGGTGTCAAGCTTTTACCAGGTGTTCTGTATTCTTGGTGGGGGGAGAATGTCAGTGCTGGTACCATAGGTATCTACCCTTGTCCATTTCCTTAACACCTTTAGCGGACTCATTTGGTGGATAGCATTGCAATTTGGTAATACTGGTCTGCCTCAAATTTATTTAGTGATCTTGAGCAGTCACTAGTATGTTGGGAGTTAATTTAGATTGTCTTATCTTCGGAATTTTGCCAACTGGCTGAATTATATGATTGGTATAAAGCTTCTGTGTATAATCAGCAGGCTTATTTGTTACACATGGTTAGCTTTAATTCTGTATTATATAAAGATGACTCAACAATAAATTTGCAGAGATTGAACAAATAATCCTGATACTCAATTTTTGGAAGTGGGAGCTCTGAGTCAAAAGTAGGAATCATTAGTCTGGTAGGCTTTGAATTGATAACTAGTGGCATCCTAGAAAGGTTATGTAAGGGGTAGGGGCAAAAATGGTTTTACAAAACAGTGGGTCAGCGCTTTTCTTACTCAGCTGCAGCTTGTAACATGCTGGGTCGTACACATCTCAGAATGAGATGCTAATGTGTGCAGTGTACCTTCTATTCTAAGTGGTCGGTCGGGGTTGGTTACTAAATGATGTCAGCCTTGAAAAGTGCTACTCTAGACTCGTACCTTGTTTCCATTCTGGCACCAGTTGGATAGCTAATTGCATGTATGAGTCGGGCGTTATTTTGAATACTTTAGAGAGAAAACCTTATTTTGGTCCTTTTACAGGAATATAGAGTGGTGGTACATATTCTTGACTTCCAGTGATAGTTGTCCATTGGGCTTCAAGCTAAATATCAAGTGAAAGTGGCCTGTGGGTGAGGACAAAGAATACTTGTGGGTCTCAGAATTCTGTCAGTTTGAGATTTGTTGGATTAAATTAATAAGGTAAAATGGTGTCTGGGTAGCCTATCTTTGGGTAGACTAAAAACATGATTTTCCATGATACATGCTAATAGGAGCTAGAAGCTATGAAGCACCTTAACAAGTTGAGAACTTAGCAAAGTACAACCCAGAAGATGATGTCCTAAAAGTTTAGTATAGTTTTTTTTAAATTTTGAACCATGGTCGGCCATGTGGGAGTGTCTAGCGCCTTAACCACCACGCCACCTGCTGGTCCCAAGTTTAGTAGAGTATTAAGACTTAACATCCAGAACTAATTTAAGTAGGAAAGCAGTAGGCAGATTTCCAATGTTTGGGGAAAAGAAATGCTTTGACCATGTCCGTAATTAAGATAAGTTTACCCTTTTTTTTCTTTTTTTAAAATTATTTTTTTGTTTGACCAGAGAGAGAAGGGGGAAAGTGAGGAAACAAGCCACCATGTCTGGGACTTGAAATGCAGTCAGTCATGTGGGAATCCAATGCCTTAACCTCTTTGTCACCCACTAGCCCCAAGTCCACTTTTCTAGTAAAACTGAAAAGGACACCGTCTCGGGCTGGTAGGTGGTGTGGTTAAAAGGTACAGGACTCCCATGTGGTGACCATGGTTCAAGTCCAAAACTTAGCGGCTTGCTTTCTCACTTTCCCTCTCACTCTGTCCCTCTCTGGTTAAATTTAAGTAAAATAAGTTAAACAAAAAATATATATATGTATATGTATATATATACACATATATATATTGAGAGGTTTTTGCTATAGGGCGTGTGCTTGCTAGAGACAGAAAGCGAGAAATCATCCCCCAGGGGTGGCCATGCAGCAAGCCCTTCACTTGGGATCTTGGGCACGCACTCACATGTGCCTGGTGTGTTTAAGCCACTACGTCTAGGACTTGAACCACAGTCGACTGACTACATGGGAGCCCAGCGACATAGCCATTAAGCCAACTGCTGGTCCCCTAAAATAATTCTTAAAAAATAAAAAAAGGACACTCTCAGTCCCCACAGCAAAATCGTTCTGTTGTTCTCCCTCTCACAGGAAATCTGCTCAGAGGTTGGTACTTGAGTTCACTCACCTGAGAAAGTAGAGAAAGATTCAATCCTATCTATGGTTTTAAACCCTTAACTTTTTTTTTTTTTCCCACCAGTAAAGCACCTTATTCTGTGGTTTGGCAAAAAGCAAAACCACATTAGAGAAAAATCAGAAAAACATTGTGCATATAGTTTCACCCATTGTAGATTATGCTGTTAACAACTTGGCTATTTTTGTTCTGGATTTAATAAGGAAAAGATAAGGGATCAGCAGATGTAATGGTTATGTGGCTGGACTCCCACGTAGTCAGCTGTGGTTCCAAGTTCCGGACCTGGCAGCTTCAAACTCATGCCATGGGACGTGTGTGTGCATGCGTAAAATCCCAAGGGAAACGGAGAAGGGATTGTGGCGTGGCCACCCCAGGGGATTTCTCACTTGGTCTTCGTCTCTCTGACCAGCACATACACCCTATAGCAAAAATCTATCTCCAAAAAGAATAATAAGGAAAAGATGTTGGGTAGACGAGTAATTGTAGAGCATGTGGGTTGTTACTAACAAGCCCTCAAGCCCTCAGAGCCACTTCTCAAACCTAGTGCTTTTTCCTTTTTCCACAGGGCACTGGGCCCAGCCTTCTTCCTGCTTTTTTTACCCATAATATGTTTAAGGTATACGTGGTGAGATGGCTTCTATCTCTGACTCAGCTGCCTGGTATTCTCCAAGAGGCAACTATTAGGTTGCGGAGAGTCTAATGTATTTTTGTTTCTATGCAAAAATGCATCATGACTTTCCCAACAACACAGCCTGCTGGATAGTAAGTTCCCGTGTTAGTAAATGCACATCTTTTCTCTGCCTCAAACCCCCACTTTTTTGGGCAGTATTTAGTTCTGTGTGTGTGTGTGAATGTGTCTGTTTTCTGGACAGTATATAGTGTGTTATGCATAATCTCCCATTTAATATCTTGGACATATAACTGGCACTTAACTGTGGAGTTAAGTGGGGGGTGTGGCATAATAGATGTAAATTTGAGTCCTTCCAGTGTGTAAGGCAAGGTATAGCCTTGGAATACAGGAGTTTACAGTGTCTTGGCGCAAACAATTGACCAATCATGAAGTATTAAATGAGGGGGAATAATAAAGCAGGATAAGAGGGATAGGGAATTGACTGCTGTTTTGTAAAGGGCGACCTAAGGAGGCCTTTGTGATAGAGCAAGTGAGGGAAAGCCACATGGACTTCTGGAGCTCAGAAAGTACAAATTCCCTCTAGTTTGGAATGTTGATAGGCAAGTGTGACAGTACAAAGTGTTCAGAGCAGAAGAGGAAGAGCATAGGGAGGGAGGGGTGCTAGAATGTAGATAATAAAGATCTTCAAGGCGATTTAGCAGTTGTAGGTTCATAGCAAAACAGGTGCAGAGATTTCTAATACACTCCCTGCCCTCATGTGCATAGACTCCCCATTATCCACATGCCCCATCAGCAATAGTACATTTGTTACAGAACTAATGAGCCTACATACACATCACTGTCACCCGAAGTGGTCCATAGTTAGCATTGGGCCTCACTCTGGGTGCTGAACAACAACCCAGTCTTAGCAGTTCTGTAGCCTGCTGGATGGTAGATTCACCTCTGGGTGCTGTACATCTTTTCTAGACTGTCACTTATCAGCACTGAATATCCCATTGTCTGAAGATTCCAATTTATCCACTTACCTACTGAAGAACATCTTGTTTGCTCTGAATTTTGGCAATTCCGAATAAAGGTATCAACAACCATGTACAGATTTTTGTGTGGATGTTAATTCAACTCGGTTGCTGCTGAGGAGCAGGATTGTTTAGTTTTATTGGAAATTGTTAGGTTTTTTTGTTCCCACCAGCAATGAATGAAAGCCCCTGACCCTCCGTTCTGCATCTTTGGCAGTATTTGGCGGTTATCAGTGTTCTGGATTGTGGTCATGCTAGTAGATGTGCAGTGCTATCTTGTTTTAACGTGTATTTCTCTGATGATGTGGAACATCTTTTCCACATATTTATTTGCTGTCTTTTGTGAGGGGCTTGTTAAGGGTGTTTCAGACTTTTTTTTTTTTTTTTTTTTTTAAGAATTATTTTTTCCATGAGTTTTGCCAGAAAAAGAGGGAGAAAGCAAGTTGCCAGGTCCAGGGTTTGAACCACAGTTGGACATGTGTGAATTCCAGCACCTGAACCACCATGCCACCTGCTGGCCCCAGGCCCATTTTTTAATTGGGGTTTCTCCCTGGAGAGTTCTTGAGTAAAGGAGTAACAGGAATTGAACCAGTTTCTCTATTTTATTCTGATTACTGTTAGTGTTTCAGGGAATAATCTTGAAGGATACAACTTCGGACAGGTGAACATGGGTATCCCAGCCCCTCGATGTTGATTTGCTGGATCAAAGGGTAGTTTCATTCCTATTTTTTGCTGCGGTGGCAATGTGTAGAAGTGCCTCTTACCTTGGACCATTCATTGCCTGCATGATGCACCTTCATACTGGTTGATTTTTACCAGTCTTGGGTTGAAAAGTGGTGTTTCAGTGTGGTTGGTTTTAAATGTAAAAAAAATGCCCCCCTAACCCTCAAAATTGATTTCCATGTGTTGTAGGTTCTCTTGTTGTCTACATACTTGAGGTTTTCCCAGAGCAGAACAC